GGCTGTTGGAAGTGGGTTGCCAGGTTCTGTGTATATGGGTTTTTACAATTATGGATGGTGGTCGGTCATAGAAAGGAAATTAGTAGGTTAATGATGTTAAAATGGGACAAATGAAGGTGGGGAAGATAAATTGGGAAGAGGATTTTAGTGGTGTTTTTTTATGTTGGGAGATGAGAAATGGTAGTGGATGGAAATAATGAAAATTTGGAATAAGTGTAGTGGAAGTTGAATGTCTGTTTTCAATGTAGAATGGAAACCTTCTGGTGGCAGACAAAAATTTTTGTTCAGTATTGTAAGTAAAGGGTTTTAGAAAATGATGCAGGAAGTGGGTTGTCAGGGTAATTATGTGATTTTTGATAAGAGATAGGTGTCGTTTTGGTGAAATTAGTGGGTGGCAGTGAAGTCAAAACAATTTTGGAGATTTTGTATTGACGTGAAGAAGGAAAATTCTAACTTTCTTCCTTTGTGTAGCTGATTCAGATGTATTGAATTGCAAGAAGTCAATACCTACATTTAATTTTCAGACCAAACATTTAGTGAGACACTTGAAATTGTAAAAATAATGGAAGTGCTTTGCTAACCATTATTAAAGAGAGACCTTTGATTGTGCTTAAGATTAGCTGAACTGATATAGTAATCAATGGCTTTGATGTGGACTTGTTGGTTTTTGGCATTTTCCGAAGGAAATAGTCGATGAAGTTGCATGGAGTATAAGGTTGCATCTTCCATTTCAAAATGCTTAGTGCCAAATACTCTGTTCGCTTTTAGCTCAAAAGAAGAACTTTGGCTCCCCAACCTTTTCTACTGATCCAGATTAACAATAAGATGAATAAAATAAATTCAAAGGCGTATCGAAAAATCAATGCAAGTAGAATACATTTTAACCCTAGAACAATTAGGCTAAGCTCATTAGAAGTAAACGAAGTTAATCTGATATGGCTGAAGAATGGTTTTATGAGCTGAATTTTGGAAGGTCATAGCATATTATAAAGAAAAAAGCCCTTTGGTATCCAATTGGAGTGATTGATATAAACAATGGATAAAGCAGAAAATGAAAATATGAGATGGTGACGTTTGGCAAATTGTGGGATAACAAAAGAAAATTTGTGGTGAAAATATTGTAAATATTAGAATGGAGTTTTGGAAAAGTGGTTATTTACGTGCTAGCAAGTTGAACAACTGAATTCATTTTGATGATAAACATGCACAACTGAACCTAATGCGAGATGCATAAAAGAAGAGATTTTTTCAGAAGTATAAACACAAATGATAAAAGCTGAAATTGGGTAGAGAAGAAATTCCTACCAAATAAACTTCAATGACAATGCATATAGTGTATCTTTGGATAAAAATTTTGAGAGCTAAAAACTAACACAATATAAATATTTCAATTAACTAACCTGCTGAAAATTCTTGATTATCAAATGGAAGAATGAAGTTTAGGTTCACTTGTAATTGAGACTGTATCGGGAGAGCCAATTTGGGTGCTGTTTGACACCCATTCCTATCATTTTCTCCAAGCCCATTCTCCAGATCGCTGCAACAAGCACATTTCAGGTTTATTAAGCTTCGATTTAGGTTTTATTGAGAATTAGGCGGTCGGAACGTTCTCTTTTTCATCTTTCTAATATTCACAGAAGGCTTCATTTTTTTCCTCTTTCTTTGTAGATCTGAAAATATTTAACTTTCACTTAGCAACGTAAAACTGACCTTTTCACCCTTCTCATCAGGATTCTCAGGGTTTTTCAACTTCTCTTTTGCCTTCTTTGGTTTATGTGATCCCAATCCTCTCTTGACATTGTTAATATAAGCCTATATAGGCTCCAACCTACCCTACATGGAATCAAGGACTAATTAGAAACTCGGCGAATTATCTTATGTTTGGAGTTTAGATTAATTATGGACAAACATCACTATGACAAAAAGTATGTTCCATATTCTCGAATCAGAACAAGAATTAGCTCTAGATGATCAATTTTGAGTGAGAAGTAAATAAGCCATATTTTTTTATTCAAAATCTAATTGTCTTGCATGATGTGTCTTCCTCTTTATTGTAAAATTGATAAAGCATCAAGGATGGGAATTTAATTCACATTATGCTAAAGTTATATTCACAATCTCAAATAAGGAACAAGAACTGGCTGTGGATGTTTCCGTTGCATGATAAGCCAATTTTCTAATTCAAATGAGTAACATTTATTCCTCTTTATTTCGAAGAAGTAAATTGAAGAAAAGGAAAGGAAGCCAATTTTATAACTCAGATGAGTAACATTTATTCCTCTTTATTTCGAAGAAGTAAATCGAAGAAAAGGAAAGGAACCATGTAAGATAATTGAACATCATTTTTCTATAGCAGCATCAACTAAATTATTGTAGAGACCATAGATCATCATCATTTATGTTAGTGAAGGTCACAGACAATTATAATTGGGATCATGGAATTGTCTCCTAAGATAATTGGGGATGAGTCATAAGTTGTTTTACTTTATCTTACATTAAGTAACTTTTGCTAGGGTAATGCCTAAAGTGGGGAAGATATTTCGATCCAAAGAGTTCATTGGAAAACAAAAATAGTTATTGATAGCACAAATGTAATGCTTTCAACCAAATAACACAATTCCCAAACAAAGATATTTAACCGGCAATTATTTACCTTGAGCCCTTTTCTGAAGATCTTTTGGCAACAATGGACGCTGAGGATACTTCTCTTCTAGATACTGCAACATTGCAGTATTCGGTCAACAACAATACTTTTTGATAGTAAGGTTGAATAATACAAAATCCACAATTAATCAATTCTATATTGCTATTATCAATGAAGAAATTCACCATTAATGTAGCAAAAAAGTCTGCAAGTACAAAGTCATCATCCACAAGTACTGGCATGTATCTAAGTGGATTAAGCTTCAAAAACTCTACAATCTGACAAATTAGAATAGTAATCAACTGAAGCAACATATAACTTAGCAATACAGATAACAAGGTTATGTCGACATTTATACATAATTGAAAAGAAA